CTGCCCGACTTAGAGCTGTAGCAGCTCCCCATGCAGGTGATTTCCTATTTGCAACCCCAATGTCAGCAACCGGCACCCGTCTCACACCACAGGCCCTCCAAATTGCCGTGGCTCTCCTCCTCGCTGCCCCAATCCACACTGAATACAGATGTATTTGCGGCGAGGCAGAGGCCGGCAGGTACGGACGGCATGGCCTTCTCTGCCAAAGGACAGGAGGATGGCATGCAAGACACGGCGAGGTCAATGACATTATTAAGAAGCCTTACCACAGCCGGTTGTCCAGCAGAGAGAGAGTCCCGTTACCTAATGTCCTGCAACTCTGAGGAGCCTGTCGGTCGCCCAGACGGAATCACGGTGAACCCATGGAAGAATGGTAGACAGTTGGTGTGGAACTACACTTCCCTTTCAACTTTAGCCAACACCTATGTTGACTTCAGTGCTACACAAGCAGGAGGAGCTGCCTATCACCGGGAAGCGGCCAAGTCACATAAATACAGAGACCCTGAACCCCACTACAATTTTGTCCCCATTGCCTCAGAGACACTTGGTGCCTGGGGTAAAAGTGCTGCTAGCTTTTTGAAGGAGTTGGGGTCTAAGCTAATCGAAACAACTAGAGACCCTAAAGCTGCCAGTTTTCTTTTTCAGCGCCTTAGTGTGGCAATCCAGAGAGGAAATGCTCACTGCATCCATGGTTCCTGCCCACCATCTGAGGAGCTGGAGTAGCTATTCAACTTGTGACAAGCAGCCTTGTACTCTGCATGTAATCAATATTATATTTTTTTTTGTGTAATGATATTTTCAAATAAAGTTAGATAAATATACACACATACCAAAAGAATAGGGGAGGTAGAATAAGAAAATATCAAAGTGTTCAGTGAAGATCCACAGATCTCCTCTGAGTACTCTTTATTTTCTTCTCCGAGGCTATGGGTCCCTACACTTGCAACAGAGGTGGTACCCCTTCTAGGTTTAAAAATATATATATATATATATATATATATATATATATATATATATATATATATATATATATATATATATATATATATATAAGGTAAATTCGTAACACTTTTATCTAAATAAGAGTATAAAGTGTCTCGAAGTTATGACCTCATGTTGCCTGGTGGAACGAGTCTACCAGTGAGTTATTCTGTTTTCCGGACCTGAGACCAAGCGGTCAGAGGAAGAAAATATATAATAAATGTCAGTGAGGAATTTAAGAATACGAGCGGAGGATGAGTGTCTAATAAAAGTGAGATGGAATGAGATGTCGATATTTTGGTGACGAGACATGACGCTAGCAGGACGTTGTGACCTTACTTGTGTTACAGCAGTCGTCAGGGATGGTTGTACTCTGTTGTTCTCCTGGAAGAAGAAAGAATATGGTGCCCTGTGTTAGCGGTGAAGTGAAAGCTACTTGTTTTCAAATGTGAGGAAGCTGTTCAAGACATCATACACCATTTCTCTGTGATTTGAATGTATTAGAGGCGACCTGGAAGCGTGTGGTTGGTCGTACCTGTGTGGAACTCTAATTGTGTGTTCCTTTAAGAAGAAAGAAGCAAGCAGGCGTTTCTGTGTGGAGCCTGCCGGGCGACTCTGTGTACTCAAGTCAGGGCTGGAGGAAGCCTTGTGAAGCAGTCCTAAAGCAATTTTTGTGGGCAACCTGTGTGAGCACCATGTTGAGCACCCGGGAGTGAGCGCCCCTATTTCATAGATTTCTGCAGTAAGCATATTTAATCAGTTGTTAGATTAGCTAACAGTTCTTGATCATGTGCCCAGTGATTAGAGTGAACATATGTATATACAGAGTAGATATTTTGTTGATCCAGTTAGCTAAAATAAGAAGTTAGAGTTGAGTGAACATGCTGGAGGGAGGAGTGATATAACCTCTCTCGTTGGATGTCACGGGGCGACTGAGAAGCGGCGGCCCCCAGCCGCCCAGCGTCCGGGGAGGAAGTCAGCAGCACGTCAGTACATGTTTCGATCTCGGACTCGTCCAGGATGGGAGAATACCCACCAGAGTTGGACAACACGGTGCAGCGTGGGAGGGCGAGATTTAATGACAGGATATAGGTTTATTACTTAATTTTGTTAGGAAAATTTTGTTATTGGCAAGGTAATGGAATTGCAAGTTTGTGTGGGAAAAAGTGAATGGAGGAACTTCGAGGCTGGAGAAGTGGATACTGAACTCTGAGGTAGAGCAGAGCTCCATAGTGAGGAGTTGAACTTCAAGCAGTGTAGAAGAGCTTCACGTGTCTTTGTGGAGCCGGTAGAGGAGCGTCAATGGTGTTGGAGTAGGACTTCATTGTGTAGCAGATTGGGAGAAATGCAGAAGTGCCTGTCTTGATTTTTGGAGGACCTAGATATTGCATTAGTAGTAAGCCTCTAGGAGCAGAACAGAGGATCCTGTTGACACATTAATGTGTAAGGAGAGTGCTTGAATGCCAACCCGTTCTCGCAAATTTAATAAGTCAATATTGACTTATTAAATATGTGCATAGGTGACATACTTAACATAATAGATACCCTTAAAAAGATTCATAGAAAACACCGACCTTACCTAACCTACTTAGTATGTTAAGATAAGCATCTTATTGCTTCGTAATTACAATTATTACCTAACCTATAATAGGTATAGGTTAAGTAATAATTGTAATTACGAAGCAATAAGATGCTTATCTTAAGATACTAACAAGGTTAGGTAAGGTCGGTGTTTTCTATGAATCTTTTTAAGGGTATCTATTATGTTTAGTATATCACCTATGCACATAGTTAATAAGTCAATATTGACTTTACGAATTTGTGAGAACGGGTTGTGAATACTTATTGACATGTAAGATGCAATGTAAGGTGAGAGATTGATTTCTTCTTTTGTTGGGGATATTTATGTAGCTGTTCCAGGTATTTCAGCCCCAAGCAGAGTTTCAATATACTTTTAAGGTTGAAGATACATTATTGTTGTGCCACGTATTTCAGCCCCAAGCAGTGAGGGGTAGTAGGTTGTGAGCCAAGAGTTGTGCAGTCACCTGATATAGATAGTTGGTGAAGCCAGGATATGATACTAGAGTGCTGCCAGGTTGTAGCAGCTTAGAGTGCTGTACGGTGATACGAGTCAAAAGTGACGTTATTTTTAAGAGGACGGGTTAGTACGGTAATATTGTATATTATATCTTTTATTATGTACGTTTCTATGTATTAAATGTTTCAAATGTTAGCTGGTTTTTGCTCTTGTCTTGGCGAGGTTTCCGAGAGAGAGAGAGAGAGAGAGAGAGAGAGAGAGAGAGAGAGAGAGAGAGAGAGAGAGAGAGAGAGAGAGAGAGGGGGGGGGAGAGGGAGGGGGAGGGGGAGGGGGGGGTGTCATGGCTGCGGATATGCTGACAGTAGACACTAATTCAGGGAGATCATTCCGAACAAGGAGAGAGTCGGGAGTCACGGCAGCTCGAGTCGGTGGTATGTACACGTGACAATGAGGCCAGTTTTGGAGCCGCACCCCTAAATAGGTGATCCTGAACCCCTCTCCATGAGTAAGATTGAAATTGAAAATTTCATCCTAAAATTCTGAGTGTCTTAACAGAAAACGAGGAGAATTAAATCGGGGGAGGGAGTTGGATAAATGTAACAGCCCCATAAGTGTAATTATGCAATGTTTATGACAGTAGGAAAATGTACTTATTACACTTAGTATTAAATCGTACTTTCAATTCGAAGGATGGGTTGGTCTGGGAGTGGTTGGGGACTGTCTGTCTGTACGCAAGTAACAGTCTGGTGCAAAAACCAGAGCTCCCTTTTGGGTTTAAATCCCCAACCAGCTCATTCTTGATATAAGACTAGTCAGTGACGTTGCATGATGCTAGTACACTAGAGCACCAGCTGGACTATATCACAGGACGGCCAGTAATATAGTTTCTGGACAACCAGTGTTACAATATAGCTAGACTGAGTATGTCGACAGGTTTACACTCTCCCGCTGACTGTGGTACTCTGCTAAACTCTAATCATTTATTAAGTATGCAAGACAAGGTCTCACTGAGCGCTTCTATACATTGGTTAAACACCTTGGCAATTACTTAGTCTGACAATGGAGACTTAGACCTTTATTTGTAGACTTGTTTAGTTGTTTAATGTCTTCATTTCTGGTAATTACTTATCTACTCAACTTGTCCTCCTTCCCTCCATTATTGAATTTTTTACCTATTGAAATAATATTAAGTTTCTCTCTAGTAAAATATCACCCGGTTCTTTGTTATCTGTTGCAAAATCTTCTTTATTTTTCAAATGCTTAATAATCTTTAAACATTGTTTGATATATCTAAACAAAGGTTTGGCATTAGTCTATACCTCTTGTTATATGCACTTAATTGTTTATCTTGCCTTTCTTTTTTTTATTTGTAAACAGTCCAGCATTTTTTTTCTGGAGAGACTTATTAGTTTGTATTTTTTTTAATCGAGATTTATTTTCCTGATGAAATGTTGTAGTTTCGTGCACTTCCCACTTCCTTACATACATTCCCCTCCACCTCAAGCACTGACTTGCTTTCACATAGACATGCACACTGCTTTCTCCAAACACACTCCCTGCTTTCTCAGAGCGGAAAAAACTGGTCTCTGAAGCCCACTCTTCACCTCACAAACACACTCCCGCTTCCTCTAACACAACCCTTGCGTCTTCACAATACACTCAACTGTTTAAAATGTGTACAGTCTTCTCTTCCATCCATTGTCTTAACTCATACACTCTCTTCACAGCTTTATTTCTATAGAGTTAGGTTATATAATCCAACCATTGCTTGGACTAAAATGCTCGTGTTCATGATATAGTGACTTGTGGACTATTTCCAAAATAGTGTCATTCCTTGCTGGTCTTACGGCCTCACCTTCACTACTATCTCTCAGTGTCAACCTTTACTTAATTCTTCAATGTTGGTGATGGCTCACCAGCTCCTCTCATCCCGTCTTAAGGCTCCAGCACTCATTCCTCTTGTGTTCTCAGGTCTTCTGTCTTAGTTGAGCTTTGGTAGAGCAGAGCACCAGGTGCACTCAACCATGGTGCTCACAACCATGATGCTCACAACCGTGGTGCTCACAACCATGGTGCTCACAACCATGGTGCTCACAACCATATTGCTCACAACCATGGTGCTCATAACCATGGTGCTCACAACCTGGGTGCTCACAACCATGGTGCTCACAACCATGGTGCTCACAACCTTGGTGCTCACCATGATGGTGCTCACAACCATGGTACTCACAATCTGGGTGCTCACAACCATTGTTGGAAATTTCCAACACTAACAAACTACTATTGTATTATAATACATCATCATCATTATATACTAACTACAGTAGTTACTAATTTCACTAACGGTAGTGTTAATATAAAGTAACAATTTTATCTGCGCATTAGTGCTAGAATTCGCACGAAATCGAGTAACAAAATTGCGTCAGATAATGTCTAGTTAGACACGTTTATTACCAATGTGTTAGAGAATTGAATGTGGTTCTCTAAAATTATCAGTATTCCGTGTAATAATTAAGAGTTATTAACTGAAATTATTATCAAGTAGCAGTTTTATCTGTTACGTACGAATGCTATGGAGAGAATGAAAATCTTCTCCATTTCTCGTTTAACACCATTAAACGAGAATATGATAATATTTAAGTCCCTATAATTGCAACCCAGTTCTCATTAACGTATTACATCAATAATTACGCGGAAAAGAATTATCCGTGATTAATAATTTCTGTAGTGAATGCGAGAGACGGGTTGAGGGATGGCGAAGACGCCATTGCGCACGAGGCATCCTTGGCGATAAGAGTGGCGAGACACGTGGTAGTGACTAAAGAGTTTTCCAACAAGAATTACGTTGTAACTCAATTAATAGTCGACAATTGCCTATTCGTGTGTTCTATAGTGCCCTGCCAGTTAATAACGCGTCAACAATTGAAGCCACGACCCGTAATTACGCGTACACAGCGGTGGACGCCTGGGACTGGTCGACGCGGTTTCGGCAGACCTCAGTATTTGATACGCTCATGTTAAGTATACCATTCTCGTTTGATGCATCATTCTAGATTGTATATTTGTGGGTAGTCTGTCGTGACAACGAATGGATCCTAGATACACAAGGTTAGTTGATTTTCCACATTTATCTCAGTTTTCATAAATACTTGAAATAATTCGTAGCCTAATCAAATGCTACTTAAATTTCTCTGATTTCAGCGTCTATACGAGGAGTCGACAAGTTGATTCTCTTCATTCGTGATATTCACCTCGGGTTCTTTCTTTATTGGGATCCTGTGACTGCGAGGACGAATGACGAAATAGCGTTACAGAAATCATCTTACAGCTAAGACATTTATTTCGTACAAATTTATCTAAGATTATTACTGATTTCCATATAATTCATATAGGATCTTTACAGTGAATAATTTATTGCCAGAAATTATGATTTGGTAATTAATGTGTTTACTCTTACTGTTGTTCAATAATTCATAATCTTTAATATTCATAATTTGAGGTATCATATTTTTTAATCTATTTTAGTTTAGATTTACTATGTTACTAACTCAACAATGAACTAGTGACGAACCACACTGGTTCCTAGATCTATATGAACTTCTAGAAATACCCCCCCCCCCCAAATGTTGATATTTGAGGCTTCGACTTTAAATAATTAATAATACAGTCTATTCATTATTTTCAAGTGATTAGTCATTTAATTATTATCCATAGACACTGGTTCTCTAATGCCAATCTAATAATCACTATTATTCGTTTTCCCTCTTTTCTCAAAAGTGGGTGGTCCTTCGATTTATTTAAATACAATAACCAAATAATTGAATATATGAGTTCAAGCCCCAGAAATCCAACAACCATGGTGATCACAACCATGGTTCGCACAACCATTGTGCTCACAACAAAGGTGCTCACAACCATGGTGCACTCAACCATGGTGCTCACAACCTGGGTGCTCACAACCATGGTGCTTACAACCATGGTTCTCACAACCTGGGTGCTCACAACCATGGTGTTCACAACCTGGGTGCTCACAACCATGGTGATCACAACCATGGTGATCAAAACCATGGTGATTACAACCATGGTGCTCACAACCTGGGTGCTCACAACCAAGGTGCTCACAACCATGGTGCACACAACCATGATGCTCACAACCTGGGTGCTCACAACCATGGTGTTAACAACCATGGTGCTCACAACCATGGTGCTCACAACCATGGTGCTCACAACCGTGGTGCTCAAAACCGTGGTGCTCACAACCGTGGTGCACACAATCATGGTGCTCACAACCATGGTGCTCACAACCACGGTGCACACAATCATGGTGCTCACAACCGTGGTGCTCAAAACCATGGTGCTCACAACCATGGTGCTCACAATCATGGTGCTCACAACTATGGTGCTCACAACCATGGTGCTCATAACCATGATTCTTACAACCATTGTGCTCACAACGATTGTGCTCACAAACATGGTGCTCACAACCATGGTACTCACAACCATAGTTCTCACAACCTGGGTGCTCACACCCATGGTGCTCACAACCAAGGTGCTCACAACATGGGTGCTCACAACCATGGTGCTCACAACCATGGTGCCTACAACCTCGGTGCTCACAACCACGGTGCACACAATCATGGTGCTCACAACCGTGGTGCTCAAAACCATGGTGCTCACAACCATGGTGCTCACAACTATGGTGCTCACAACCATGGTGCTCATAACCATGATGCTCACAACCATGGTGCTCACAACGATTGTGCTCACAAACATTGTGCTCACAACCATGGTACTCGCAACCATAGTTCTCACAACCTGGGTGCTCACACCCATGGTGCTCACAACCAAGGTGCTCACAACCTGGGTGCTCACAACCATGGTGCTCACAACCATGGTGCCTACAACCTCGGTGCTCACAACCAAGGTGCTCACAATCTGGGTGCTCACAACAATGGTGCTCACAACCAAGTTGCTCACAACCAAGGTGCTCACAACCATGGAGCTCACAACCTGGTTGCTCACAACCTGGGTGCTCACAACCATGGTGCTCACAACCATGGTGCTCACAACCATGGTGCTCACAACCATGGTGCTCACATCCAAGTTGCTCACAACCTGGGTGTTGACAACCAAGGTGCTCACAACCATGGAGCTCACAACCTGGTTTCTCACAACCTGGGTGCTCACAACCATGGTGCTCACAACCGTGGTGCTCACAACCATGGTGCTCACAATATGGTGCACACAACCACTGTGCTCTCAACCATGGTGCTCATAACCATGGTGCTCACAAACTGGGTGCACACAACCATGGTGCTCATAACCATGGTGCACACAACCATGGTGCACACAACCATGGTGCTCACAACTATGGTGCTTACAACTATGGTGCTCACAACCATGGTGCTCACAACCAAGGTGCTCACAACCATGGTGCACACAACCTTGGTGCTCACAACCATGGAGCTCACAACCATGGTGCTCACAACCATGGTGCTCACAATAAAGGTGTTCACAACCATGGTGCTCACAACCAAGGTGGTCACAACCATGGTGCTCACAACCTGGGTGCTCACAACCAAGGTGGTCACAACCATGGTGCTCACAACCTGGGTGGTCACAACCTGGGTGCTCAGAACCTGGGTGCTCACAACCATGGTGCTCACAACCTGGGTGCTCACAACCAAGGTGCTCACAACCTGGGTGCTCACAACCATGGTGCTCACAACCATGGTGCCTACAACCTCGGTGCTCACATCCTCGGTGCTCACAACCTGGGTGCTCACAACCATGGTGCTCACATCCAAGTTGCTCACAACCTGGGTGCTCACAACCAAGGTGCTCACAACCATGGAGCTCACAACCTGGTTGCTCACAACCTGGGTGCTCACAACCATGGTACACACAACGATGGTGCTCATAACCATGGTGCTCATAACCATGGTGCTCACAACCTGGGTGCACATAACCATGGTGCTCATAACCATGGTGCACACAACCATGGTGCACACAACCATGGTGCTCACAACCATGGTGCTCACAACTATGGTGCTCACAACCAACGTGGTCACAACCATGGTGCTCACAACCTGGGTGCTCACAACCAAGGTGGTGACAACCATGGTGCTTACAACCTGGGTGGTCACAACCTGGGTGCTCACAACCTGGGTGCTCACAACCTGGGTGCTCACAACCTGGGTGCTCACAACCAAGGTGCTCACAACCTGGGTGCTCACAACCATGGTGCTCACAACCATGGTGCCTACAACCTCGGTGCTCACAACCAAGGTGCTCACAACCTGGGTGCTCACAACCATGGTGCTCACATCCAAGTTGCTCACAACCTGGGTGCTCACAACCGAGGTGCTCACAACCATGGAGCTCACAACCTAGTTGCTCACAACCTGGGTGCTCACAACCATGGTGCTCACAACCGTGGTGCTCACAACCATGGTGCTCTCATCCAAGTTGCTCACAACCTGGGTGCTGACAACCAAGGTGCTGACAACCATGGAGCTCACAACCTAGTTGCTCACAACCTGGGTACTCATAACCATGGTGCTCACATCCGTGGTGCTCACAACCATGGTGCTCACAACCATGGTGCACACAACCACTGTGCTCATAACCATGGTGCTCACAACCATGGTGCTCACAACCATGGTGCACACAACCACTGTGCTCACAACCATGGTGCTCATAACCATGGTGCTCACAACCATGGAGCTCACAACCTGGGTGCTCACAACCATGTTGCTCACAACTGTGGTGCTCACAACCATGGTGCTCACAACCATGGTGCACACAACCACTGTGCTCACAACCTGGGTGCTCACAACCATGGTGCTCACAACCATGGTGCTCACAACCTTGGTGCACACAACCATTGTGCTCATAACCATGGTGCTCACAACCTGGGTGCTCACAACCATGGTGCTCACAATAAAGGTGCTCACAACCATGGTGCTCACAACCAACGTGGTCACAATCATGGTGTTCACAACCTGGGTGCTCACAACCAAGGTGGTGACAACCATGGTGCTCACAACCTGGGTGGTCACAACCTGAGTGCTCACAACCTGTGTGCTCACAACCATGGTGCTCACAACGATGGTGCTCACAACCTGAGTGCTCACAATTATGGTGCTCACAACCAAGGTGGTCACAACCATGGTGCTCACAACCTGGGTGCTCACAACATGGGTGCTCACAGCCTGAGTGCTCACAACCTGGGTGCTCACAACCATGGTGCTCACACCCATGGTGCTCACATCCTGGGTGCTCACAACCAAGGTGGTCACAACCATGGTGCTCACAACCTGGGTGCTCACAACCTTGGTGCTCACAACCTGGGTGCTCACAACCTGGGTGGTCACAACCATGGTGCTCACAACCTGGGTGCTCACAACCTGGGTGCTCACAACCATGGTGCTCACAACCTGGGTGCTCACAACCTGGGTGCTCACAACCATGGCGCTCACAACCATGGTGCTCACAACCTGTGTGCTCACAACCAAGGTGGTCACAACCATGGTGCTCACAACCTGGGTGCTCACAACCTGCGTGCTCACAACCTGGGTGCTCACATCCATGGTGCTCACAACCTGGGTGCACACAACCTGGGTGCTCACAACCAAGGTGGTCACAACCATGGTGCTCACAACCTGGGTGCTCACAACCTTGGTGCTCACAACCTGGGTGCTCACAACCTGGGTGGTCACAACCATGGTGCTCACAACCTGGGTGCTCACAACCTGCGTGCTCACAACCTGGGTGCTCACATCCATGGTGCTCACAACCTGGGTGCTCACAACCTTGGTGCTCACAACCTGCGTGCTCACAACCTGGGTGCTCACATCCATGGTGCTCACAACCTGGGTGCTCACAACCATGGTGCTCACAACCTGGGTGCTCACAACCTGCGTGCTCACAACCTGGGTGCTCACATCCATGGTGCTCACAACCTGGGTGCTCACATCCTGGGTGCTCACAACCAAGGTGGTCACAACCATGGTGCTCACAACCTGGGTGCTCACAACCTTGGTGCTCACAACCTGGGTGCTCACAACCTGGGTGGTCACAACCATGGTGCTCACAACCTGGGTGCTCACAACCTGGGTGCTCACAACCATGGTGCTCACAACCTGGGTGCTCACAACCTGGGTGCTCACAACCATGGTGCTCACAACCTGGGTGCTCACAACCTGGGTGCTCACAATCATAATGCAGATGTGTATTCCAGATGTTAGTGATGTTGTTGTTGTTCTGTGGTTTAGTCAGGAGAACGAGCTCTTGTCTGGTGTCATTTAAGTTTAAGTTTGTTTATTTGACGTATTTTACAAATCACATATTTTAGTTCCCTTTGATAATATATCCATTTAATCTGACGAGATAACGATACATTGAATACCACAACCAAACAATGATCACTTTGATGATGTTATCTCTTTTGAACAATGTTAACTTTTATAATGGAGCAGAGAATGTTAATTTCAGTGACGTAGTGTTTGACAATAAATTTATATTGAGTTGGTTTAGAGAATACAACTATTCAGTGTTAGCTGCAGTTGTAATTATAGTCAATGACCTGTAATTATTAACCAAGTTGACAATGGCGCCCACTAAACTATGGTGTTCCAGCCACAGGTGAGAGCCTGATACAAGAGTCAGACAGAGAGCAAGAGTGGTAAGGTGTACCAACCTTACTCCTACCAACAACGCCTCTCAAGTTCTCCGCGGCCAGCGGGGAGAACAATTGCTGGAAGAACACGAGTACTGAACAAGGGCCAGTAAGACTATTAATAGTGGCAGCGACCCTCTTATTGCTCATACCAGAGGATGTACGGCATACTATCTCAGCTTCCAGCCCTCGTTACAGACCTTCTTAACCTGGGGTCCGCAGCTCTCCTGAGCTTCTGTAATCACAGTAAATGCTGCTTCTAGTGTCTTGCATCTGGGACAAGATTTCCCAGGACTGCCGTCCCAGAACACATCATTGGCTCAAGCCTCAGACCTTATTAATCAGCTCCGGTCCACAACTCATCTGATGTGTTCAGTTATCCGGGTGAGAAAGTGAACGATGATATTTCCAATAAACACGATCCAGAGAAATATTTGTTTCTACTTTCTATTTTGTACCATCTTTCTCCTTCC